CGTTGAAGCTGGAAAGTCGTGATATAAGCATCATGGTAAAGACTGGATAGGGCAAGAATCATCAATGAACGCTAAGTCCATGGAAAACCCAACGGATTGCTTGTTGGCTGCAAAACAACAGGGGCAATGGTAACTATACAGAGGGGAATGCACGTCGCCGTGGCTGAGTGAGCGAAGCGAGGGGCAAATGGACACTCCCCCCTCCAGATGTCCTTGAGAAGAACACACGTCTCTTCTGCAGTATTCCACCCGAGAACCAATAATCTCGACCTGATCTCGAGGAAGCATCAGACAAGCCCCAGATGAGAATGGTCTATTGGAGGGGCAGAGGCTGAGTTCTTCACATATGCCGGTGTCATGAAAAAGCAAAGGCAGGCTGTGGAAATGGTCCAGATTCAAGCAGGCTAAAGAGACCTGACAACTAAGGGCCATACCTGATCCTAGACTGGCTCCTGCGATGGGGAGGGGAGATGCTACAGAGCACATGATCGTGTCACTTGACAAAACTGGGATATGAACAGAATGTGAGACGAAAGTGTGGACTAGTGTCGAAATGCTGTGGTTTTATAAGAGAACATTCCAATTCTTAAGAGATCCACTCCAAAGTATTTAGGGGTGAAAGGCCAGGATGTATGTAACTTACCCTCAGTTGCCTCTGGGGAAAAAAGTGTGTGTGAGAGAGAGAGAGAGAAGAGGTATATGAGGTAAAACGTTCATAGGAAAATCTAGATAAAGAGTATGGGGTGTTCTCTCTACTGTTTTTATTCTTGCAACTTTTTTGTTAGTTTGAAATTACTCACCGGTAAGCTTTTTTTTTTTTTTTTTTAAGTTTTAAAACAGCACTTAGTGAGAAAAGTAAATGAATTTTTTTAAAAAAGCTTTTTAAAGAAAAGTAAAGGAAATAAGAATTGTGCTATAATGCCCTTTGCACAAATTAAAAATAACAAACCAGAAAAACAACAAAACGCATTTGGCAAGAACCCACAGAATAAAAATGGCAGATGGGCCAGTGCAAATAAAAACAAATCAATTGATCAGTCCACCCGCAGGAGGCCTAGGGCCATGCTTTGGGGAGAGGTTTTCACTCTACCCTCTGCACCTGGGCTGCCCCAGTTTGCCAGTGAGATTCCACATCAGCCCCTGGAGGACTCCCATGGCCGCCCCCCAGGGGTGTGCCCAGTGTGGGTATGAAAATTTGCCCAAAGAGAGGAAGCTGCCAGCAAGATGCCCCAGCCAGCCTGGCCCTTGGGAGATTCCTGTACTCACCCTCCACTGTCCCCCAGCCCCACGCAGTTTCCTGATGCCAGGCCCTTGCCACAGAGTGCCCTCTGCACACAGCAGGGTTCTCTGGCGAGTTCTGGTCATATACATTTGTCTAGCGAATACACTGAGACAGACTCCGTGCTGGGTACTGGGATACAGGACTGAGGGTGAGTGGATCCTGCCCTCGGGCAGAGCTGGTAAGTAGTCAGACTGAGGGTACGGTGGTCAGAGGCAGAGCCGGCCTGTCACAGGTCCGGGGTCCAAGCTCATAGGACGTCATGGAAGAGGAGGGTCGCTAACTGGGGAGGCCAGGAAGCATCCTGGTAAAGAACACAAGAGGGCTGGGCTCTGAAGTGCGGGTAGGAGTTCGTGAACCCACAAAGGGCAGGCGTGTTTGGAAGGACAGTGAGGAAGAGGGGTTCCCGGTGTCCTGTGTTTCTGAAGCAAACCTGGGGAGCAACAGGACTCCCTTATGCTCATACCAGCCTCCCACCCCCCACCCCCCCCCACGCAGGACAGCACGCTGCAGACGCCGGGAGCACCGAGGCGGGCGATGTCCGCACATCTCAGGACTGAGTACGGCGACAGCAGACGCAGTCGAAACCGGAACGTAAGGAGCCAGACTCTGTATGTATTTCTCTCTTCGCTCCACCTGGCCCCACCCCAGCCCCAGCCACCATCGGAAAAGGACCTGACCCTGAAGGCAACATTTCAGCCCTTTTCGTCATCGTGCTGAGTCTCCTGAGATGGGGAGAGAGAGAGAGAAAAATTTAATGATAATAACGATGACAACAAAAACTCCATAAAAGTAATAGCGTTTATATCGGGCTTACTGTGCGGCAGGCACCGTTCTAAGGCTTTCATTGGATGACAATGTCCACTTACAGCTCCCCGCCGTTTTTCGGACACACTCATCCCAGGGCCTCTGCCTGGAATGTTTTCCCTCAGATGCCCGCCATGGTTCAATCCTTTCTTTCAAGTGTTTAAATATCACCTTTCCAATGAGGTCTTCCCTGAGCACTCAGTTTAAAATGGAAAAACCGCCATCGCTCCCCGCACCCCTCCCCTGCTTTATTTTTCTTCTCTCCACTTATCTCCCTCTAAAACGTCTTCACTGTCTGCGTCTTGTTCCTCGTCTGTCTCCCCCACTAGGGAGTTTGTATCTGTTTCGATCACTGCCGCATCATCCCCAGGGCCTAGAACAGTATCCAGCACATAGTAGATACTCAGCAAATACGTATTAAATAAAATGAAATCCAGTGAGGTGAAAGCTGTTATACGTAGTTTCTGCTTTACAGAGGAGGAAACGGAGGCACAGAGAGGCGAAAACATTTCCTTGCACCAGGTCACACAGCCAGTAAGTGACAGAGCTGGGATTCAAAGCCAAGCCGCACTAACGGAGCTATTACCCGTCCTCCAGATCTGTAATGTAGAAGAGGCTCGTCGTTCTAGCCCAGCCAACACTCTGCCCCCAATACGCCTCCCCATATGGTTCAGGGGGACCAAGTGCATCCCCCGCTCCAGGAATGGGCTCAAGACTCAAGACAGGCCAATAAGAGCACTACATTCCCTTGGGCCTCAGTGATTGGTTCAGGGATGGACATGTGACCTAAACCAAGCCAATGAGAACCTTCTGTAGGATTTATGCCACAAGGGTGGCCGGGGGAGGGTCCCTGACATTAAAATCAGCCCAGGAAAAAAGCAGAACCCAGAGTGAGGAAGAGTCAGATTCCCAATGGCAATCTTTCCGTGCCTGGATCCAGCCATGCCTGAAGCTATCAGCCTGTAGATTTTTACTCCCATGAGCCAAAATTTTTCCCTTAAACCAGTTTGAACGAGGTTTTCTGCTGCAATCAGAACAGTCCTGATTCCATCAACAACAGCTTCACTTATGGAAGAAGAGTTTTAGCAGGCCCTTACCTACAACACCTAATCTCACCCTGCTTCAGCCCTATGTGGCTGGTGGATCCAGGATCTGAAACTAAGTCTATGTGACCCTGGAAGCTGCATATGTAAGCGCTATCATGTTCTGCATATTGGCAGGTGTGAGAAACGGACCTCTCCATCGCTCCCGCGGGTTTTCTAAAAGATAGACCTACTAAGAGCCTGGCACATAGTGGGGATTCCAAAAATCCCATTTATAATTCTTTAAAAGCAGCTAATATAACATGTGAACCTGTCTGGATCCTGATTCCACAAACCAAACATAAAAAAAGTATTTTTGAGACACTTGGGTGGATGTTAGATGGTATTAAATCATTTTAAAAATTTTGTTGGGTGTGATAATGGCCTTGTATTTCTGTGTTTTAAATTTATTAGAAATGCATGTTGAAGCATTTACAGGTGAAATAACACGAGGTCTAGGATTTATTTTCAAATATTACAGAGCAAAAGAACCGGCGGCGAGGAAAATAGATGAATGAGACAAGAGAACATTGATAATAGTTGATCTGGGCAATGGGTACATGGAGTTCATTTTACTAGTCTCTCAACTAGCATGTCTAAAAATTTCCACCAAAAAAGATTCTAAAAATTATAGCCTCCATTTATAAAAATTCCAGAAAATACAGACTAATCTATGGTAACAGAAAGCAGATCAGTGGTGTCCTGGGACAGGGTAGCAGCTGAGAGAAATTACAGACGTTTCCGAGGAAACTTTGGGGGCCGATGGGTTTGTTGTTCATTATCTTCATTTTGATGACGGTTACAGAGATTTGTTCACATGTCAAAAGTCATCAACTCGTATGCTTTAAACATGTACTGTTCCTTATACATCACTTACAACTCAATAAAGTTAAAAATAAATGTGAAAAAATAGATACACGACAAAGTATTAAATCAGTATCAGCTTGAAAAAAGTTTTTAAAATTATTTAATAAAAGATAAAATTCTAGTAAATTTTTTTAAAAATAGCAACTTGCAAATGTATATATATATACAGAGTGGTTTCAAAAGTCCAGTATTGGTGGCGAATAAATTACTGTGCGCGTGTTTCAATAGCTTAAAACAACATCAGTGATAGAACTTTCTGCAGTGCTGGATTCCATGCTGTGTATCTGCGCTGTCCAAAGAAGTAGCCACTCGTGACTATAGAGCACTTGAAATGTGGCTGATGAGACTCATAACTGAATTTTTAATGTGTTTTATTTTAATTAAATGGAAAAGCTACACGCTGTTATTAAATAGCACTGCTTTACAACTAAAAGCTTTAAAAAATAAACCTAAAGCTCTCTTGAAAAAAAATTTATAGCTGACATTCACTGAGCCCTGCTCTGAGCCGTGCCTGATTTAGTGTCTTACATGAAGCGTCTCACAGAATCATCTCAACAGTCTCGTTTTACAGATGAAAAATTGAGGCTCAGAAAGGGTGTAGGTCAGTGGTCCCCAAACTTTTAGGCACCAGGGACCGGTGCTCCTATTAGAATCTAATGCCCTATGATCCGAGGTGGGGCTGAGGGGGTGATGCTAGCGCTGGGGAGCGGCTGCAAATACAGATGAAGCCTCACTAGCCCACCGCTCACCTCCTGCTGTGCGGCCGAGGTCCTAACAGGCCACAGACCGATACCTGTCTGCGGCCCAGGGATTGGGACCCCCTGGTGTACATGACTCGTCTTGATTGTAATAGTGAGGGCTGGCTGAGCTGGGATTGGGGCTGGGGAGTGTTTGTCCTCCGCCCTGCCCACCCACACACCCACAGTCCAGCCTCCAACCCTCCCACTCCACCTCCCTCATCTCACCTCCAGCTCACCAGTTGCCTGCTACCTTTTCCTGATCTCATTGATAACGGTCACAATTTTCTGAAGCCTGGCCTCATCCACAAAGCCATCACCTCTCTGGGCACAGATGGGAAAAATCACAAACACATGTGTCTCCCACCTGCCCAGGATCCCAGCGTCACCCTCCCTCGCCTTCCGAGACCCTTGCTCAGAATCACCTTCTTCGAATGAATCAGTGTCCCATCCACAAGCACTTCGAACTCCCCAGTCCCCTCGGCAGATACCTCCTCCTCCTGGGGAGAGAAGTTTGGGGGTCAGGGGAGGCTAAGAGCTCCACTGCAAGCTCCTCGGGGGTCTCAGAGCTCTGACTACCCTCTCATTCCCCCAGACCACCAGCTCACTCACAAAGAGTAGACCATGTGGAAATTGCTGCTCCAGATTCTTTCTCAATACAATGTACTGCGGGGAGGAGAAGGGATCATCAGATCACGGGATCACAGGATCACGGGGTCATGGGGTCACAGGGTCATGAGTGTTGCATGGAGGGGAAACAGGAATTCCTCCCAGACTTAATGGCCCACATTCCCCCCACCTCCAAAACCAAATCTACTCACCCGAAGGTTATAGCTTCAGAGGCCACTGGAGGCCGAGGGCAAAAGGAGGGAGGCAGAGCGAGACAGAAGGAAGACGCAGTATTAGTACGTCCCCACTGAGAAGGACAGCCGAGACACCACCTCCTAAGCTCTCCCCAGCCACCTGATCTGAGGTTCCCCACCCTTTGTCCTCCATCAGGGCACTCTGCCTTTGAGTCCCTGGCCCAGCCTCGCCTGGGAACAAAAGCAGCAGATGGCTTTGCTTAGCACTCCATCCCCAGCACAGACATGGCCCATGGTGCAGGACACTCCAAAATGAATGAATGAATGAATGAATGAACGAACAAACGAACGAATGAATGATAGTCAATGAATGAAGCTGGGAGCCAGGAATCACCTTTGAGGGCAGAGTAGGAATTTGAACCCAGAACTCTCAAGCCCAAAAGAGAATGATAGGTGGAGCCAAGTTTCCCACCTGGGAATAGGGACTCCCTTCCCTCGCCCCATCTCAGTCCCCAAAGCCCCAGCACCTGTCCCTCCAGGCCTTTCCCCACGGACAGCCCCTCACCAGTAGATCACTCGAATCACGATCTTGTTGTCCACTTGCAAGTACTCGCTAGCGGATGCCAATGTGGTGGCCGACGAGACGGGCTCCTGAATGGGCGCGGGGATGGGTTCCGCAGTAGAACCCGTCAACTTGGTGGCCTCTGGATCAGCCCTCCGGATGGACGCCCGAGTGGGCCCCAGTAAATCAGTAGCCAATGGAGCGAGCGCAGAAAGGGGCTCTTGGGTGGGCCCGAACTCATTGGCGACTGATGGGACGTGCTTCACACTCGGCGTAGGCGCGGGATCCTTATCAGGCGACAAAGTGGGCTCCGGAACGGGCTCTGGGGGCGGACTCGGGAAGAATTCCAAGCCGGGGACCGCGGCTGGGACCGCGGGAGGGGTGGGAGGTGGGATCGGGGTTGGGGTCGAGACCCGAGCTAGGGTCCGGACCGGGATCGAGGTCCGAACAGGAGTCGGGGTCCGGAGAGGAGTCGGGGTCCGGACAGGATTCGCGGCCCGGACAGGATTCGCGGCCCGGAATGGAATCTGTGTCCGGACCGGGGTCGGGGTCCGGATCGGGGTCGGGGTCCGGACCGGAGTCAGGGTCCGCACCGGGATCGGGACCCGGGCCGGGGTGGAGGCCGGGACCGGGGTCGGGGTCCGGACTGGAGTCGGGGTCCGGATGAGGGTCGGGGCCCGGACCGGGGTCGAGGGCCTGACCGGAGCCGAAGCCCGAACCAAGGCCGAGGTCCCGGGCAGGGACGGGGCTGAGGCCCGCGCCTTGTTGTTCATAGGGTCAGGGGGACCCGGGGAGACCCGGGCTGGGATCCCGCCCGCCCTCCTTCCTTCCTTGGGCCGCTAGAGCCTCGCCGGCACCAGGGTTCTAAAATGGGACGAGACCACAAGGGGGCACTGTTACACCGTGTTCCACTCGCGGCGTAGGTTCTGGGCAGGACCTCTCGATCTCGCCTAATAATTTCCATCTCCTTAACCCCCACCACTACGAACACACGAATTGCGCCTGTGTTCCCCACCTTGTCGCTAACATTCATGCGTTCAGTATATGTTTATACGTTTATCGCGTGCACCGTCCCGTACTGGGTGATTCTGGGGGACAGAAAGCAATCAAGAAAGCCTTGGTCCAGTGACCAGGCTCCTGCTCCAGTAGGGAAGATATACCGATCACAAAACAATGACAGCCTAGTGTGGTCAGGACTGGGGCGGAGGACGCACACGCAAAGGGGTCAGAGACGTGGTGGGGAAAATTCAGGGGCTTTGGGATCCCAAAAGAGATGCTAGGACTAGTATGGGGCAATCAGAGTTCCCTAGAAGAGAAGACAACTGAGAGACCTGGAGAAAAATAATAACAATGATAACAGATTTTACATCTATATAGCGCTAAGGGCTACAGTACACATGCCCTCAGCTAGTAAATGGCAGAGCCAGGATTCAAATGAAGCGGTCAGGCTCCAGAGTCCCAGCATAGAACTACTCTGGCAAGACTGTCACACTGTGATCTCCTGCAGGGGGGCATCTTGTCTTGTTCCCTGCTGAATCCCCAGATCCTAGAACAAGGCCTGGCACACAGTAGGTGCTCAACAAATATTTGTCTTCTTATTTTGAAATATTTTAACAATCCCAAGAAGTGGAGGAAAATGGTACAGAGAACCCCTTCCACAGATACATAACTAAAAACATCTTATGTAACCATGGCATGTAAAATCTTACGTAAAACCAGGATGTTGACATTGGTCCCATACCTTTTGATCAGGTACAGACCTTATTCAGATTCATGGAAGTGTTTTCAACAGTCCTGAGCCACTGTGCTTCCCCAGCCCTGAGTCTTCCTGTGTTAATCCTCGGGCCTGGGTCTCAAAAACCAGGAAGATCAGGAAGGACATCCACTCTGTGTGATGCTAAGCAAATCTCTACCCCTCCCTGGGTTTCAGTTTGCCACTCTGTGAATTAGGCTTTCCTCTTCTAGATAATATTGAAAACTAACGCACACTGAGCACGTATTATGTGCTAGCCTCTGTTTATAAAATGCTTTGCACTAATTATTTAATACAATTTTCTGAAGTAGATTCTATTAGCATTCTCATTTTACCAGTAAGGCATTAAGACACATAGAGGTGAAATGACTTGTCCATGTAAGTGGCAGAATCTAGCTCTAAACCCAGGCAGTCTGATTTCCGTGCATTTGTAGATTTTTTGTTTGAGCGATCATTTAGGTCACTTTATGTGCTGTTATCATTGTGCTAAATGCAATAAGTTTTGGCTCCAAGGATTTAAAGCTTGGCCAGAAGAGGAAAAAGTTACAAGTTGCCCCTTGGTGTGCAATGCCTTCTACCTTAGTCCTTTGGGGCTCTGCTTCCTTTCACCTGTAAGGTGAAGGATTTGGATCAGAATAACTTTTCCTTCGCTGCCAGCTCTGATAATCTTAGTCTTCCGACCGGAAGCTGCTATCTTAGGCTAAGCCTGCAGCAGCCCAAGGCAAGGTCACCAAGCAGGGCCTGCTGACTTGGGTAAGGGATCCTTCTCTTATGATGGGGAATCAGAGAGCTTCACTCATACTCTCTGATAATACAGCCAGCTCTGGGTCTGTAATGACTAATGGATGTATACAGTGATGGTGCCAAGACTCTGCCATATGTGAGGTACCCTTTAGACCAGGAAATACATCAAAGGGGGAATCCATAGGACTCAACTGCCTGTCTTCGGTTTGTATGCAGTCATTAATTAAAAAAAAGCATTGCTGGTTCTTCACATCAAGTATTTATTCAATATATGGTATCTGTCGACTGAATTGAAAGAATACACAGATCTCTTGGCTGATGTTCTAATGAAAGCAATCCTTCATTTGTTTGTGTTTGCTATATACCACTTGTTATTTTTCTCTCTGTTCTTTCTTCTCCAGTTCCCATGATTTTGCTCGTTTCCAAAAGTCCTCGGGCATGGTCCCAGCCTACTGCCCGCTAGACAATATGGGGAAGAACAATTGGCAGAAATTGGCAGATGTAGGCTTGTTATTTTCTCAGTGGTAGAAGTAATATTAAATGTGTAAATAACTGCCTTAAAATATTCCCACTGTGCTAGGTCTTACTTAGATTTGTTCCATCTCAATTGGAAGGAAATTTCAGGACCTGTAGAGACAGAAACAAGTCGGTGTTTGCACTTCACCTTAATTCCACATCCAAAGCAGTGCCAACAACATTCAGTCACTGGCAGTCCTGCGTCCTACCACTTGCCAAGGGCTGGATTCTTCAATTGTCTGAATGACATCCACGACTCATTTATTAGTTTTTTCAGTAAATTGACATCAAGACAGGGGGGTGTCTGTGTCCAACAGCCTGATGGTTTTTCTCCAAAGGAGGAAGGCACTCCAGTGTTGAAGACTGATTGCAAAAGAGGCCCCAATTCCCCACCCCTCCCCGACCCATGACTTTGGAATGTGACTCTCCCATCAAGAGATGGAGTCTGTTTCCTCACTCCAAGACTCTGGGCTGGCTTTGTGACTTGCTTCGGCCAATAAGATGAGGGGAAAGTGTTGATGTTCAGTGGGGTCCACTCTCTCCCAGACCCCTGCCTCAGTCAAGAGGAAAAGCCAGGGCTGACCTGCCAGAGGGATAAGAGGCTCGGTGGAGCAGAGCAGCCAGCCTCGCCCACGCCCCCTCCCCCCAACTCGAGCTTACTACACACACATTTGTGAGCCCCTCCCAGATTAGCCTAAACCAGCCCAGCCCAGAGCAAAAGAACCCCAGCCAATCTGTAGATTTGGCAGCAAAAATAAATGTTCAGTGCTTTATGCCACTGAATTTATGCATTATTGTGGCAACAGACAACTGGCCACATTTGTTTTAAACATTTTGTTATTAAATATAACACAAATGCAAAAAACTGTGTAAAACAACTTACATAACAATATAAGGAAATAAGGCAAATATCCCTGTAACCGCCACCCATATCAGAAGACAGAAGCTTCCTATATCCCTCGGCATGCCCCCTCCCAAACGCAACGTCCCCTTACGTCAAGTCACCATCATGCTGATGTTTATGGTAATCTTCATTACTTTTATACTATTATCACCCAAATGCGTATTTCTAACATTAGTTTTTTTATCTTTTAAGTCTCTTTTCATTTATAGGCTTCTCCTTCCTTGATATTTGTTTTATAAAACTTTGAGATAATTTAGACCATAAAATTCACCTATTTTAAGTGTATAGCTCTGAGATTTTTAGTAAACAGACCAAGTTGTATACCATCACAATCATTTAGAATATTTCCACCACGCCACTAAGATACCTGCTGCCCATTTTCAGTTCATTTCCAATCCCTCCCCCAGACCCAGGCAACCACTCATCTACTGTCTCTATAGATTTGCCTCTTCCGGACACCTCATATAAATGGAGTGATACAATGTGACGACACCTTTCCCTTAGCGTGTTTTCATGGTTCATCCATGTGGTGGTAAGTACAGTACTTTGTTCCTTTTTATGGCTCAATAATATTCTGCCGTAGGGATAGGCCATATTGTTTATCCATTCACCAGTTGAGGACCACTTGGGTTGTTTCCATATTTTGGCTATCCTGAATAATGCTATGAATATTTGCATGCAAGTTTTTATATGCACATATTTTTTTCTCTGGGGTAGAGACCTAGAAGTAGAGGTGCTGGGTTATATGGTATCTGTTTAATTTTTAAAGAAACTGCCAACCTGTTTTCCAAAAGTGCTCCACCATTTTACATTCCACCAGCAGTGTATGACAGTCCTCGCTTTTCCATGTCCTTGCTGACACTTGTCTGTCACTGTGGTTGTAGTCATTCCAGCGGGGAGGAAGTGGAATGGTAATTACTTCTTCAAGAAACCAGTCATAGAATCCCCATAGTCTGGATTTTGCTCATGCCCATGGTGTTATGTAACATGTCCTTGTGTCCCCTGATTTTCTGGTAAACAGGCATCCAGCTGAGCTACAACAAATTGCCAATATCCGAAATCTTAATCTGAGCAGATCTCAGTGCACCTCCCTTAGGAACAAGACAGGAAATCAGACGGCTATTCTATGTGCTACTGATGAGAAAGGATAAGCTGTTACCTGGAGATGTCACAGGGGACCTCCCTGAGGTTTTCCCAAACAGTAATATGTATACATGAGAAAACTTTTAAAATAGAACAAAGGTGCACACAAAGAAAAAGCAATCTCCGTAGGAATTCTTATACACCACGGTGGCAGCGTGGACTGAGAAGCAATCTGCTGATATCCGGTGAAATTGCCAGCAATGTCCTATAACCAGGCACTGGCCCTCCAGGGTACACATCTGTGGCAGACTCTGTTCTGTTCAAAATATTCGCTGTCCCTCCATCACAGAGAACTTACTTTCAGCCTCACAGTCACCAGGCTTGGCCATGGGACTTGCTTCAGCTGATGAAATGTGAGCAGAAGTGTTTAAGAGCCTCAGCGCATGTCACT